AATTATATTTTTAATAATAAAGTAAGCTAGTGGACAATGAATTGAAAATAAATACATAAGTTGTTAAAATTTTGAATTCACATTTACTTATGAAATTTTTTTTATTTTTACTTGTAAAAATCTATCTCATAGTCCTAAATTTTAAATTTAGGAACTACGACTCAAAAATACAGACATGGTATATTCCCAACATATATAGTGAATCCTCTTCTCTTTATCTATCATAATCACTATTACGATCCAATTTGGCTTTTTATAATCAAGAAATATTAATACCCAATTTCATTTAATTAAACCATATCTCCATGTTTTTCTTTTAATTACAGTTTTAAAAATCCTAAAAAACCTTCACTAACTTTATTTGAAAATCTTTTGATCTATTTCAATCATTAAATACTTAATTTATATGTAATTTAAACTTTTTCATAATTATTTTAAAAAATTCTTTATCTGTCTTGGTTCTTTATTTTAACCAGAGAAAATATTTGGTTTGGAATTGCTTCAATTAATCTGTCTACTTTGATTGATGCTCTATCTTTAAATTCTGTTACTGCAACAGATCTAATAAGCTGCAAAATTTGTATGAAATAGTGATACATCATTAATTCTTTATATTCTTTTAAATTTTAATATCTTATTCATATTTAGGTAATTTAAAAAACAAAGCAATAATGTTAAGGTGATATGCATTAATTAAAATTTTGATTCTCTAATATTAATGCTAACATCTTCAGATTCTTTTCCAAATAATACAATTACACTTAATTTAACATTTATATGAAATCTACTTACAGTTATTTATTATAAAACTCCATTTTCATCTCATTTATCAACTCTTTCGCTTCCTTTACTTTAACCTCCAATATGTCTTAATCCAAGGTCTTAAAAAATTTTCTTATGAAGCATATATCCATTAATTTTGTTTGTTCGAAAATTTAAGTAGCTTAATTTTATTTTTTAACCTATTATTATTTTCTCTTTTAACTATAAATTTCATATTATATTTACTAAACTTATAATAAAAATAAATAACGATTTCATTAATTTGAATATCAGTTACTTTGATTCTTATTTCTTAATTCCTATTAAGATTTATGTTTGGAAATTAGTTTCATATTCACTTACAAACGTTGGAATTTATATTCTTAAAACACCAGAAAAAGGATGTGAGATGTTTATATCTGAAGTACTTTTATCAATATTCTCATTGTGTCTGCAGGTACTACTTTGATTAACCTCCATAATGAATCTGATTATTAGACTGTTTAGGTTTATTTCTTATTTCCTCTTAAAGACATTTTAACAAATTAATATTTTTAATTATTTGCATCCAATTCAAAACAAATTGATTTCATGTGTAATCAAACGATTTAGTATATTTTTTGGAGTGTTAATAAGAATCTTAGGATTTTTAATATAGATTATTATTGACATATGCTACTATGATTTAAGTATTAAGTTTATTAGAGATTTGTAAAAAGTAGAAATAAGCAAATAAAGAATAAAATGAATAAGATTTAGAGTTTATTAAATTTTAAATTTAGAACATTTAAATTAAACCATTTATTTTTCAACCTAATACTTATTTGAAAATATAGTTAAACTTATATTTTTTTTATTCATTCCTCTTTAGTTCTCTTTTATTCTTTATTTTCTAAAAACATATGTCTCTTTTCTATTAACGATTTAAATTAAAATCAATAATTTTAATTTCCAATATATTATCAATAAAATATTTATCACCATTAATAACTGCACTTATTAAATTTACTTATATTTAGAAGAATGCATTTAATTTTTCATTATCTTTCTCTTTTTCTGGATTTTATATCTTTATTTTGAAACTTTAATAATACTTTCAGGTACTTTATCATAACCATCAACTTATTAAGCATCTGAATCTTATATAGATGGTTGTTAAATCTTATCTAGTTAACAGAAATTTAGTTTCACTAAAGGTATTTGTATGTATTTCATGGTTGTAGTTATGATGCACTATCTGCAAATTCACTGAAATCTGCAGTACTTTCTTTATTCTGTATTAAAGAAGGTTTGAACATAAATAAGTTGATTTTATCAAGAAAAGATTCTAGATAATGCCAAAGATGTGTTTCGCATTCTTACTCTTATTGTCGAATCTTCTTCTTTAAAATTAGTAAATTATTTATTTTTCTAAAAAATTTATTTCCATTCACATCTGACTTTTATTAGGAGTATAAAGTTTAGAATGATGAATAGAGCTCATAATAGATTTTCCATGATCATCAAGGTTATTATTTATTCCTTAAATAATCTATATCACTTTCCTTCTAATATAAAAATAATATCGTTTTAAATTTTCATCTATTTTTAATGATTTTTTCTAATTCCTAATAACTTAACTAATTTTTAAAAAAGTTCAAAACAATTAGTTACTTGATTCAGATTATATATTTTATCATTACTTTCTTCTATGA